TGTTTTTGTACATATGAAGGCATTAATAAATAAATAATTCATTTAAGGTATGTTATAATTATGCATTATATCATTTATTTTGATTATAGATTTAATAATTATCATAAAATTACTGAGTTTTAGCCATTTTCCATTTTCTTGGACTTTTGTGGTTATGTTTTCCATTTCACAAAAAAGACAATTACTATCGCAAAATATTAATCTCACTTTATAAATATTATTCTCATCTTTTGAAGAATTTGAAAATAGTTATTTAGTAATAAATACTTCTATAAAATAACATTGTTTTATTAGTATAAATATGCGTATGAATTGGATTATTTATAACCTTTAAACAAATTTTATTACATAGAAACGAATTTGTTCCTTTTATATCGTGTGTAATGTATAGCTGCATGAAATTCCACATGGTGCAAACATTTTTTTCAAACACATTAAGTCACCCCTTACCCTTGTGTATTTTACCCTTTTCAAAGGGGTACCAATCACCCCTTTGATCCCAAAACAGAAAAAGGGGTACCTACTAAAAAAAGGGTGTTGCAGTTGGGAAAGTATTGACTATGTAGTTTTAATATTTTTTGAGTTCTATTAAAGTTCTTTTATGTTGAATAAATATATAATTTTACGAGATCTCCAAAAAATGTTAACAATATATTTTTAAAAATGTTACAAGACTTCTAAGAAATGAAAAACTATACTTGATTCTTGAGTTACAAATGCATTCTGGTCAATTCTTTTTCTCATATGCAGTTAGAATTTATAAGGCACACCCCTTTGAACGTGGGGTAACAATATTCTAACGGAGCATGCTCCGTCTTTCTAGCATCTCAGTCCATTTTATAAAAGCTAGCATCCCTTCCCAACGTTGCTGGTGGAGGACACATACCCTTCCCTTCTTTTTAGTCGGTGGGGAACACCCCTTTCTGTGTGGGATTTAGAATATTCCAATGGAGCATGCTCCGTCTGAAAGTTAGCACAGTGTGTTTTATAAAGGGTGTTGTCCTCTTTCAGTACCCGTGAGTGGAGAACGTAGTTCCATGGATTGGCAGTTTCTTCCCTACGATTGGTTGGAGATGGGGTATACCCTGACGTAGCTGTTCTCCATAGAAAGTGATGAAGGGAAGATCAGTTTAACTGAGACTACTGTTGAGTCTACATCATGGTGTTCTTTGAATGACAGTACAAATGTCATAGTGATGTGAGTGTTTTTAAATTTATATAAATTTGGTAATTAGACTCAGATACATTTATATTTTAAAAAGTGCATATATTATTTGTATTAAACATTGTGTAATATATTTGTCGATGTGCAAGTTGTTTTACATATACATTTAAAAATAGTTCACTTTTACCAAAATATATGAAACATACTTGTTCGACTTGATACAATATTGTCTGTTACTTCTTTTTTATTCTTTTTATCTTTCATAAATTTTTCTCTGTTCTGTAAATATGGTACATAATAACGTACAAAATATAATTTTATTGTGTACAATGAAATCACATGTTTTCAATCATTTTTTTACACATGTCCACCTATATTTTTGTTGAAAATTACATTAATTAAACAAAATAAATTATACATTGTTGCCAACAAGAATCAAACATATATGGATATTTGACGCAGTTAAAAGGGTAAGTTAAATTTTTTTAAATTACAATTCAGATAGTTTAGGTATACCTTTTTCATCACACAGAGTTTTCGATCATTTTTAATAAAAACTAAATAGTTTATCATTCATTAATATGTTGTTGTACATTACGTTTCATCGTATCTCCGTGAGAGGGCTCCACCACTGATCGCACTGTAGATTCCCTATTGACCTACACACGTAATGGATCTTTACCTAAAAAAAAGATACAAGAACGAATAATTTCAATCAAAATTTATGCTTAATTTCTCTTTATCATTAATAACCTCGCTTCACTGTTTTCCGTTTTTCGAAGGAACAATGATCTAATGCTATACCATCAGAACCAAAATAATACTACAAAAATGAAACAATTTTTCCACATGAAATCAGGATAGTTTGAACGATGCAAAGATTATACAATTAAAAAGCAATTAATCAAACATTTTTCCAAATCTTTCGAACAGAAAGAAACCATGTTTGTAACTGCGTCAAATACTGCTTCAATGGATTTTTATACAGCCAAAAGATTTCGATTATCCAAACATCTAAGACATCATATAATATCATTTAATGAGCCATTCGCTGTTTCACCTTAATACGGCATGTACCGAGACATACATGGCTTATTAATTTCTACTAGCTGAAATTTACAATGTACCGCGTATAATGTGTTAGCCCTTTGAACTCCAGGTTGTTTTGTAATCTATCAGCAACTGCAACTAATTTTTATAGTATTCCTAGCGACAATTCGAAATGCTATAACATTTCTTCGACCTTTTATCTTCCTTGTTAGTACAAACTTTAAATGCTTGGAAAATCGAATAATTTTAGGGTAGTTTCTTTAACACGTTGAATGCCGCACGATTTTATAGAGCAAAATACACAAAATGGAAAAAATATAATAAATCATTTGACTGAATTGGATTATTATCGTTGCACGTACATCAAACTGAACTTCAGCATTATTTCTAATATAATGTTTGCCAATAAGCATCGTTTAATTGAGTGAATTGTAATCTAATTTGTTTGGGGATCACCGGTGACCACGGCGTTAAGATTCATGAAAATATAAATATTTATTATATAAATATTTATTAAAATATAATATTAAAATATTATATTAAAAAATATTATATTAAAATTATATTAAAATATAATATTAAAAAATATTATATTAAAATTATATTAAAATATAATATTAAAATATTATAACTGGTGCAATATTCGAGCCTACAGAGTTCAAAGGGTTAAAGGGTCGTCTAAGTTCAAAGAGTCGGCTGCCGACTGGTTCGGTTTTGTGTTCGAAGACGCGTGAAGGGCTCTCGCACCCTCGCGGTAAGTCCCGCATGATATCCAGGGTGTCTGTTCCCGATCCGGCGAGCTGCTCGTTCAGCAAAGCCGTGTTTGCATTTTCCCTGTCCGGGGCGCCGAGGCTGGGGCGGTTGCCGCGCAATTTCGGAAAGCCGATTTCAATTCCGTTTTCCTTTTACACGGGAGAAGAAAGAAATCTCGAGCGCCCGGCTCGAGAAGGGGGAGAGAACGGCCACACGGGATTACGGGAATCGCGTGGACGGGGCTGGAAACACGTGCGAAAATCCCAAATCCTGACGTCTCTCTGCCCTTTGCATCGATCGTTCTTCTTCTCCCTTCGTTCCTAGCCCCAGCCCCTTTCGAAACGACGAAACAAGCTCCTCGCGTGTTTCCGTCCGTGACGCGTGTCCATCGCGCTCCTCCGCCGGGCCGCGCGGAATCTTCGGCAAATGGAAACGGGGAAACGGTATTCGAATGAAACAATTCGAGGGAATGTTGGATGACCGACCTAATGACGCACCATAGACTAGCGTACTAGAACCGCTGCGTCCAAAATATCTTAGCCTTGTTTTTCACAAGTCCAAAATCCTAGATAAAATACACGAATGTCTCATCCAGGACTAGTCATCTACAACGAGTCATCAGGTACCAAGGGTCACCGACATCCCCTCCTTAGCGAAAAGCTTAGTATATAAGAATTGGTGTCTCTAGGATAGCAGATGGTTATTCTTTCAACCCTGTTGCGTAGCGGTCTGTCCGAAATTGTCCGTTTCCGCGTCGTTCGATGTGTTCTATCCGGAGTATACGTTGAAACGCCAGAATATAATTATTATTAACGAATCGGACTTCACGTCATTCACCCGGATCACAACAGGAATCGTTCGTCTTGTTCTTTCGATGATTACCAGGGAAATCTTAACCCCTTGTCATACAACTTCGATTCGTTATAAATAGGATCATCAAGTACGATAACTGATACATTGACTCGATCTATGAAGCAGTTTCGAAAGATTCCGGTGGATGCGTTGAGAATACGACTTTTCAGATTCTGTAAGTGTTGTCGGAAATCCGATTTCTCGAATCCCGTTGGGTGGCGTCAGAAATCTGATTTTTCGGATAGGTGAAGTGTTAACTTTCGATGCCCTTAACGCGTTCGATACCAGTGTCATATTTGTGTCGCAATCCTGTATTTTATATAAAGAAAATGAAATTAATTCTATAGATAAAGTTGTAAGCTACAAAATTACATTTAGGTATTCAATGACTCTTTAGCTTCATTTGTTTCAATAGTTCGTTTAGATTTATTGAATAAAATATAATTGAGAGGATGTCAACACGTTGAACGCCGCACAATGTCATAAAGCAAAATACACGAAATGGAAAAAATATAATATTAAATCATTCGATTGAATTGCATTGTCATTGCTGTACGTTCGTCTAGCTGAATGTCACATTAGGCAGCATTATTTATGATATAGAAATCTTTTCAAATAATCATAGATCAATATTAACCCTTTGCACTCGAGGGCTCCGGAGCAGAGCCATTTAAAATTTGTCATTACAAACTGTACAATTTTTTTATTAAACATGTTATAATATTTATAATTGTTGAAGACAGTAGAATACATCTGTGACTTTTCTTTTCGTGCCTGTATCATTTATTTATATGTTAATATGCGTTCTCCATTAAAATTACATCCAGTTGCTGGTAATGTCAGTGAGAAAAAGCTTCGAGTGCAAAGGGTTAATAATAATCAACATTATTTATAATATAGAAATTTTTTCAAATAGCCATAGATCAATACTAATAATAATCAACATTATTTC